ATGCTTCAAGTTCAGAGTTCAATACCCCTAACTCTTTCTAAGCAGCACCATACTCCATCATTTCTATGAATTTCACTGTAATCATTTGTGGAGTAATATTTAACACCCAAATGCATACTCTGCTCACCACCACAGCTTGCTTCCTCCTCCACCTGAAGAGCAAGGGAAGAAGAAATGAAAGTTCCCTGTAATACCCCGCTGTGTTGCATGTTCTTAAGTACAGTGTCCTAAAATAGAAAAATTGACTTTTAATATCCCTTACACAATTAGTGAGTGCTGTGGCAAGTCCTCGCATCACCACACTGGGATACTGTAAGGGACAAGTCTGGGTGAAAAAGAATTAAACAACAGGCTGTTGTGAAGGAGCAGATTTAATACTCAAGGAATCGAAAGGGAGAGAATACACCACCAGCAGGCCCCAGTTTCTCGGCACATCCCCCCCCCCCCAGCCACCAGCTGGTCACCAAAAGAGTTCAGAAGCTTTGCATTTGATGGTGTGGCTTGTACAAGGCAATGAGCACAGACTCTCCATTACCAAGCGGCTGTACCACGAGGCAAGCAGGAGCAAAGGAAACCAGCAGCACCCAGTACTGGCTGGGCAGCATGAAGGACAGTCTCAATTCCACCTACCCAGTGGCTCTGCAAGCCTTCCTGACATATGGACCAGAAATGAACACCAAAAGTTTCCAGAGCGTTACCACACAGTGATATAAAACCCACAGCACTTCTTGTGCTGATGCAGAATATCAACATGCTTTGCATTTATTTGGCTAATATTCATTTGTGCACACACAGATGCCAAGTCTGAAATTGCATTCATTCATTCTTGGCATTTAATTCAAGAAGCAAAGGGAATAACCCTGCTTTTACTAATGCCTGTAAAATCATGCTGTTGCAGGATACAGGTGCTTCTCGTCCACCAAAGTATCTTCCAAAAGGCTCAGAGAATAGATGCTGGGCTGCTAACCAACCCAAAAAGCAAACAAGGTGAGGAGGGGGGGAAAGCAGGACTAATGAAACTCTAAGAAAGTGCTTGATGGTTTCCACAGCCAGCACATTTTTCTCAGTGACAGATAATTCATCTTTTACCAGCTCCCATCGCCTGGAGACCAGGCTCTTGGTTGTTTTCAACTAAACCGACATAAACCGAAGTATTTTCAAACAGGAAACCAGATGTGATGGGGCCTGCCCCAGCCTGTGACAGGGACACACAGGCTAATTATGACTGATGCCATATCACTCTCCAGAAAGCACCCACTTGCCACATCAGGTGTTTTTATTGTCATTTATGGAGTGATGATTGAAGTGCCAGCAAAACTGAGGTCTAGGGTCAAGGAAAAAGGGACGGCAGTAAGAAATAGCCAATTAAGCTTTCCCTGCTCGCCAGGAGGAGGAAATAGAAACACACATTAAGCAAAAGCAACATAGTGATTTTTTAACTTGTGTTTTCCTGCTCTCTCTGGTCCCACAGTGCTGGCACTGCTCACGTTGAGGAAGACCTGGATGAGGAGGTGGCTGCCACGGTTAAGCTGTGGATCAACATGGACGAAGCTGGGAGGGGGATGCAGAGCCATGGTGCCTGCTGGGGACAGGGAGCTGGCTACAAGCACAGTGACAGCTGTAAAACCAGCAGCATTTCAGATTTGCACAGCATTGCTCCTCTAGGGGTTATTTGCTATTAAACATCTCTGCTTTCTAATGCGTGTTTGACTTTGCAAGAGGAAAATGCTAAGAAATCCAAATATGTGGGAGCTAGTGTGCAAACACACATGAGCCCTTGGCATTTTTCTAACTTCTACCCAATAATGGATATATGTGGTGTGTGCCACACATAAACACAAATGGAGAAACACAGATTCCCTGTGCTCAAGTGTTGACTAGTTTAAGACAGAGGAAAGGCCTGAATCTGGTACCTCCCAAAAAGATGCAAGCCTCTCACATTTAAAATGTGTTCATTGCCACACGGTGTGCTTTATGCGTCTTCTTAAGCATACTAATGCCCTCTAGAGCAGCTTTCACATCCTTTTTCCCCAAACCAGTAGCTGCTCCTGTCTGTGGTCTCAGGTAAGTTAACATTTCTCTGCCTCTCACTTGGCAAAGGCTTAGTCACATCTAACTGACATGCTGCTGTGCTGGAAACTGTTTAAAAATAAGAGCAAGAAGTGCTCTGGTGAAGCAGGGAGGAAAGACAAGGCACTGTTCTCTGCTTTAACTCTTCACAGTTGTATAGTGCTTCTGAATTAGGTATGGCTTCATATCAGCCAGCCATAGCTGTCATCTTCTGTGAGTTACAAATATGGATCAATGGTAAATGAACCATCGTGCTTCACTTTATTTTACGAGCTAGACCAACTTATTGTCTTGATTTTTCATTAAAATACAATAAAGCTTATAAATTAATAAAAGCAATAGGATCTGCAGAGCCTGGTATTGAATGAGCTGGGTAATTTCATGTGTGAGGTTATTTATCCTCCAGTTCCAGACTCACTTTTTCTTTCCCCCCTCTCCTCCCCTCCTATTTAAACTAATCAGAGCCATTTCAGGGAAGAAACAAGGTAAAATGGAGTCCCAAAATCAGTTAGTTCAGGCATCATTGCTGGCTGGGGCTCTCAGCTCAACGCCAGGACAGAAGGAGCTATCAGACAGTCCAGAAAGCTTTTGCACACTATTTTGAAGGCATTTACATGCCATTAAGGACAAACAGAACACAGCTGGAGAGCACCTTTCACTACCTCCTGTGTGTCCTCAACTTGAGTTGTCTAGCTCACCTTAACAAATTCTATGTCCAGCAGTACTTGTTTGCAGAGTTGCAAATGATGCCTTTTCTCATTAAAAACATCATGCTTCCAGTCTGGGGGTGTCAGATTTGAATGGTGTCTGGCTCTGTACAGGCACAGGCACCTCAGAGGGGGAAGCTTCCCTGGGTGCTCCCTCAGGCAAGAGAGGGGCTATGGCGAGTGCTTGATGCCTCTACTGCAGGGAGACAAGGTGATGCTGGGAGAACAGAGGAAGGAAGGGAGTTTGTCAAAGGGTCCCTTTGTCTCTTTCCCACCTGTCCCCATCCACCCAGCACCCAGGAAAGCACACATGCTGGGGTGCAGGTATCCGGCACCTCCTCACCTACACCAGGAATGCATGAGCATCTTAATTTGGATATTTATTCAGAAGTTCAGATGCTGGTCTGGCCTACTGAAACTCAGTGAATAAAGAATAGAGCTCATGTCTCAAAGCTTGCCTTGTCCGCATGTTTCTCCAACCAACTTTCCAAGGCTTTTTATCCTAACTTTGCAGCCCTGATGTTTCTCCACAGTGAAACAATCAGCATGGAAACAAGGGATCATTTTCAGCAGATCATCTGGGTGTGTGTGGGGAAAAATAAACAACTTTCACATTAGTTGCAGAGAAGTGAACAAATGAATTACCCGCTGTTTTCAGCCAGTCATGAATAATTCAAATTCCCCTGTGTCAGTGGATCTAATTAGTAATCATCCAAACTACTCTTAAATTATCTAGTTTTGAGTTACTTGCATAGCAACGACATTCATTTCCGATAGAATTATTAATCCATTTGCCAGTGTGAGACCGCCAGGGCAGAGACAGTGGGAAGCCATACTACCAGTTAATGTTATTAATGTTTCTTTAACAATTAACCTATCCGGTGTTCAGGGACAAGCAGCATATGTCATGTAGAGAGATATTTTTAAAGCTCTGTGGATACGTGCCATAAGTCCTGCTGATTTGGCCACCTTGAAAAGCAAGGAGCTGTCATTAGTGAAGGCTTGACCCTGAATGTGCAAACTGCATAGGAACCAAGAGAAAATATGAAATAATAGTTACCAAGATATCATAGAATAGTGGATTCACACATAGAGGTGTGAATCCACTCCAAAAAGTGACTTTGCAAATGGAACAGTGCTTTTCATTGTTTCCCATCAAGTAAGAGAGATCTGTAATTTGCTTTCCTTGTTGCTAATTTGTTCCCAAATGCAGCTCACATCTGAAGCTCACTTGAGAGGTCCTTTCCCATATTGTCTATCTGATTCTTCCATCAGTTCTTCTGAAAAGAGAACTGCCAGTTTCCTAGTTTCACCAAACAGTGCACTTCAAAGCATGGCACAGCTGAGACTGGTCAGGAAGCGGAATGATTTTATTTAGCATAATTCAGTAAATAATAAGTGTATCATGAGTTTTCCCTGTCCACCAGGTATTCATAGTAAAACACCTGCTCCAGGATTGATCTGCAGCTAAGCAAGGTCAGGGTCAGACCTTTGTTTAGGGCAAACCATCCCACATCTATTGCTGTGGGATTTTCATATCTCATTTTGAAACATCTGGCACTGATGCTTGTCACAGATGGGATACTGGATTAGACGAAACTTAGATCACATAAAAACATGTTCCCAAACTTGATTGTTTTTAAAGGTTTTTTTAAAGTTACCAATGCAACATTCCCTTCAAATAAACCCTTCTAGAGAGGCAGTGTCAGCTTGCAAAAAGGTAAAAGGTAACATAGAGAAGCTCTCACTCTCAGCTAAGCAGCATTTGGGTCCCTGGGCAGCTCATTGCAGTAGCCCATTCCCTGCACCAAAACTGTCACTAAACCAATTAAATAGCAGAAGGAATGTGCTTAGGGCAGCTACCAGCCCTAACTCCATCACTAAGCAAGTCACTTCAGTGCATCAGCTACCAGGACTGTAAATACCAACAACTCACTCCTACAGCTCTTAATACTTTCTGTATCATTTTAAAATGGGTTAACTCATTTTGAAGCAAATCACTTTGGGGGCTTTACTGGAAACCGATATTTGCAAGCAACACTACATAAAACGCTTTTAAAATCAGTAAAACCTAATCGTCAAAAGACAAAGGAGAAATGAACTTTTACCAGCCCAGGAAATCAAGAGACCTGTCATTATTTAGAATTGCGAATGCTTTCTCATTAGCACAATGTGTTGTGCTGGAGCTGGCCATGTGGAAAAGTTCTGCATGATAAAATTACATGGGAGAGAGCACAACACAATTTTTATTAAATAAAGAAATACATTGATGTCACCAAAGGAAAGAAATGAAGTTGTAAACATATTTCCCAGACATCAGCTAACAGCAGGAGTTTACAGTTTTTCTGCAGTGGCCAAGTATAATAAAATTGATCTGTTGACTATACAGATCCATAAAATAAGAGATACAGTTATTGCCAGTTGGATCAGAAACAAAATTCTTCCAAAAGAAAGTATCCTTATAAGCATCCTTTTTCCATTACACATCATGGCAACTGCAGGGTGAATGAGGGCCAGATTTCTATGCAGTTAGGTGCTTTGGGCTGGAAAGGAATTAAAAACCCCTGGACATTCTCCTCCTTGATGTAAACACAGGCTGTGGCCCTGCTTCAGGCGTTGCAATTGCCTGGCAGAGGAAACTGGTTTGCAGGGTGCTTTGAATTGGTTTGGCAGGGACAGGAGAGGTAATGGGAGATGTTCTCTCTTAACACCCTCCAGATGCAAACAGCTTAAACCACCACTGGCATCAGGGTCCATCAGCTAGTACTGGCATTTAGCTCCCAGGTCTCCTTGTCCTCACTCTGATCCAGATGTCCTCCTCAGAACTCCTCAGACAAAACCCATCAGAGCAGGCTTCCAACATTGTTACTCCATGCAATCAATTCTGGTCTATTATTAGTGACAAATTAATTAAATCCTAAAAGAAAAAACAAATCTTTAAATTGTCTCTCTTAAAAACTCATTATCGTTCAAGCTTTGATGATACATGGTTCATAATCTTGATCCAGGAATCACATCACTGCAGAAGGACATTCAAGCAAGCTGGGAATCAAGGAGCTTTTCTTATAGAATGTGAGGAAAAGGGACATTTAGGCATAGAAAAAAAGAGATACCTTATTTGAGGACTACAAGTCCATCCCTGTGAGAGTGGAAGCACTCCTGTCTTTATTGCACACACAAGGTTAAACAACCTGTGGGGAAACAATGCAGAGCAGGAAACTGAACCTGAGACTCCAAAGAGCCTGACTAATGTCGAAACTGTTGGAATAGGCAATACCTTGCTGCAAGCCTCTTTTCCCTAACATTAGTCTTCTATTACTAAAGAAAATCAGTATATGAAATATGCAAAACCATAATTCATTATTTCACAGTGCAACATACACAAAATCTTCCTCAATGCACTGGCATTTAGTTTGAAATATGCCAAGGTTAATAGCCGTAATGTAAAATCGTTATCTGCAGCAGAGTATTAATTAGGACCCTCATGCACAATGCATTAACAATTTGCATGCAAAGAGGGCTGCAGTGGTTCTCTGCAGGAGGCTGAGAGCATGCTATAGATGACAGAGCTGGAAGACTTCAGGAAAAGCATCACACTGAGCTGTCTCACAGCCCAAAGTGGGGCTTTGGGCCAGCACCAGATGCCTCTCTCCTGCCATATACCCAGAGCAAAAAAGCAGTTTTTCTGGATCTCTTGGCATTGCTGGGCAGACAAGAATCAGTTATTTGTACCTCTTTTGGTGTAAAAAACCTGCAGGCACTGGGGATGTACCTCAGCATCAGATGCCGTAGGCAACTTGCTTCCAAATTGTTACAGGCACCTTTCAAAGCCTCCCAACAGTAACTTTTTCGGGCACGCATGTGCTGTATACTGTTTGAAGAATGCTGCTTCGGTACACAACAGGTCTGATATTTAACACTAGTATTAACAGAGTCAGCCAGCCCCCAGCCCCTCAGACCTGTAATTCATCAGAAGTCACCTCTAAAAGCCTCAAAAGACAGAAGTCCACATTTCTGTCACCTTTTTGAATTGTATAACTTTGGAGGACCTCACTCAGACCATGGTTTGGCTGTGGTGAATCAGAGGCTCTTATTAATGTGATCTGTCACCAAGCCAATGGTTAACATATCAGTCTGTTTACAGGGCCTGTTATCTTGCTGCAGAACTCCAGCTATGAATGACGGCTGTGTGACTTGCAAATTGCTGGTACAGTCTGTGAGGCAAAAATCAATAGTCCCTCTAGAAAATTCCTGTTCTAATCAGGCCTGGATTTGATATAGCAAGGACAAAAACATTTTCTTCTGGCATTTTTAGGCTAACTTGTGAGTGCTACAGCATGTGCCAGGATGTTTGTAAGCTGTGCTGACGAAGTTGAGTGGCTCTAAGTTTTGCACAAGGCCAGGAGTGAGCTGCCCATGAGCTTCAAGAATGGTGCTTGATAGCCGTATAAACAAGACTGCACAACAGGGTGGCAAATCATGACTACCCCTCACCACTATTCCCCAAATGGACTGAATTTTTATCAGAACAAAGAAAACACCAAATGTCAGGTATTTCCCACTCCTAGCAGGTATTAAAAGATATTTATTCACATGCTTTTTCCCCCTTTTAATTACCATTAAACCTCTCTCTTGGGGTCCTTTAGAACTTCTTTTCTTCCCCAGCCAGGACCTGCTAGAGAACAAGTATTGGTGAGGCTTCAGCCAGATGTAGACTGGCAACGACTGATGGGGAGGCAGGAAAAATAAATCTCTGCATGCAGATGCCTGCCAAGCTCATCACCTGCTGAACAATGCCTCTCCAGGGACCACATTGACTTTTTAAGGATTTGGTTTATTTTTCTTTTAATAACAAACATGCAGCTGTTCCGTCTTTCAAATTGCTCCCATTCACTTTTCTTTCTTTTTTAATCTCGTTTCCAGCTTGTTTAGGGGAGGGCAAGCACTTGACATGCAGCAAAGCCATCAGTCAATGGTTCCACATCCTTGAACCCCAGGAAAAGGAAACTACATCCCTCCAACACTGCTTCCCCACTCAATAGCAAAACTCTGCCCCTTTCCCCCTTTGAGCTCTAACACCTTACTGTACCCTCTTTTACCCCTTTGCCCCCTTGCATTAGCCAGCAAACCCAGGCTTCAAAGTCCCTGAGGTGTCTTTGATCCTTTCAGCCTCTTCCTGACACATACTTTCCTCACCATCCAAAACTGAGGCACAAGATGAAAGGTGTGAAGATGAAAGTGCAGGAGAGCGAGCTTGATTCCTGAGGAAAGGTGGGACACAGCATAAAAGCCAGTCTGCAGCTATCAGCACAGCATGAACAAGAAACAGGACTTGATCCCAGTAAGAAGCCACTTTACTGCAAGCAGTTCTTAAAAATGCAGGGAAGGGATGCAAGCAACAGAGCTTTGCTAGCTAACGCTGCTCCATTCCAACCCATGGCTGCTTGCAGCAGCATCACCTCATGGGAATGATGGTGGGTGAATCTGCAGGAGGAACCTGCGCCCTCACAGCTACAAAGCCAAATCCTAAACCCTGCAAATTGTAAGACCCTGCTGAAGCCCATGGGCATCACACAATTCCTATGAGCTAAAGGCTTTTGTATCCACTCACACCACCTCTAGTGTCTCTGAAGCAAAGTTCCTTCCAAAATTCCAAAAGCAACAATGGAAAAGTCAGAAAGGGCAAACAGGGGTCCCATAATGCTTAGAAGCTTTTAAGACAAAAGCTGTTAGTAATAGGGGCCTCAAATGAAGTTTCACATCTAAACAACAAGCCTTCCTTTCAACAGCACTAGTTGCTGCTGGGAGCTCTTTTTGTAAAATCAGGCATCATGATGGATTGTATGAATGTACTCATTTTTATACTAAAAATCTCTTCAGTATGCCAAATTCTGCTCTCGTTTCTACGAGGGGATACTTAAATAATGAAGTCACCTCTTATCTGGGTAAGCTTAGGGTTGTCTGCTTAATCTTTCAGAGTAACTGCTATTCAAGTATTTTTCAGTACTTTTTTCCTCTGGAACAGGATTTTTCTTTAGCAACAAATATCCAAAATATAGACCTATTTATTTTTTAATGGCCTGGGGTTTTCCTGCAAAATATGTTTGTAGCATCTTGGGCTTTTTGGCTGCTCAGAACTATTTGGATAATCCCTTTCGGTGATATAAAGCATTTTGATAATCATTTGAATGATGCTTTCAGAAAAAAAAAAAAAAAAGATTATTCAAAATCTTTTGATTTCCTGACAAATTTTGCCACAACTGGGAAACAACCTACTTAATTCTTTGAGATGCTACCCATGCTTTAAAATAGTCCCCCTCTCCCTCCTATGCTTAGATGCCCTATTACATCCCTTACCTATGATCACAGCGAAGACGAAACTTCTGAATTGCCCTGTTTCACAAGAAAAAAGAAATCAAAGGACAGCAACCCCATTAAGTCCTAAAGAACAGAACATTTGGATTCAGTATTGTGACCCCAATGGCTATTTGATCCTCTGAATATCTGTGGCATTTATTATCCCCAAAACCCAGTGCAAATGCATTCCAGATTTACGTACTTATTTTCCAAGGGTTTTTTGAGAGTATTACCTTGGGTTTCGGGGGGGGGGGGGGGGGGGGGGGGTGGTATGAGTGGATCTACATTAAACATATGACAAATACTCCAGCACACCCAGATTGTGCCTATGAAGCTACAGAACTGCAGAAGAGCCTCCCTGGAATGAGCTGATCCATCACAGCAACCCTGTACACTCTGTCCAAGCTTTGCAAAACTACCTGAGTCAGTGATAATTATCATCAAGGTAAATTAAATTCTCTGTCATGTCATATCACAATTAGCCAAGCGCCCATAATCATCTTCTATCTTGCTAAGTCCCTGAGTAGGCAGTTTGCTATCTGCTGTTGGGAGATAAGATAGATGCCCACATAGCTGTGAGAAATGCCCTTTTTCTGGATACACACAATCTATTTCAAAGGCAATAAATGCCCAACATGTGCTATTCCGCTTTTTCCCATAACCTTTCCCCCTCTGTAATCTGACTATCACAGGTACTCTGCCTTCCTCCTGACTGCAGCCCCATTTATACAATTGCCCATCACTTTTCCTAATGTGGGCATGCAGTAGGAGATACAGAAGTGCCTGTCTGCACTTGGAGAACTCATGCACCAACATGTGAATGCACCCCTTGCAGGGATGCTCATTGTGAGTAGTCAGCAGAGGCAAGAGAGGGAAATGCAGAAGAGTCTCCAGTGCATAGAAAGAAACCTTAGCACAAGAGGGGGTCTCCCTACTTCAGTGCACCTATGCTTATACCTCTATGAGCCCAAAGTCTCTAAACATATCAGATTTCCTTCAGTGCAGTCCCGTGCCTTTCTTTACCTTGACTGTCATCTGGCTCTTGGAGATCAGAGCTGCTGAAATCAAAAGTTTATAGGCAGCCTATAGCACAACTCCCACCAACAGCCAGTCAGCTCAGTGTCATCCTTCCACTGCTCATAACAGCCTCAATGAGAGCAAAAATAAAAGCTAACAAATGGTAAACTTTTGTAAATACTTTTTATCATTACTCACTAGGCTCATAAATCTCTTGCACATTAGACAGTCAGACTAACAGGACACAGAAATTTTGCTGTTAGTGTCATAAATCTTTCTCATGTTCTTTCTGTGGTTATAACAACAGAAATTTATTGTAGCTTTCATTTCATCCCATATTCTTTGTAATTAATCTCGATGTGTTGCTGTGTACGTTTAGAGACAGTACATTTTGTGCCTGCCCATTTGTATTTTTTTCAACAGCAAGTCCCATCTGAGTTAATATATTGTGCTATATTATATATAACCACTGACCATAACTCAGAACACAACACATTTTCATTTTGTTGCCCCATTATTTTTGCAGTAAGTCGATACGATATGAGGTGAAGCGTGCCTTGCTCAGCACTTATTGATCTGTCTGTTTGCTCATTGCTTACATCAAAACACTGCTTGTTAGCTCTGGCTCTGTTATGATTATCTTATCATGCAGGAAGTGACAGCCTCAAAAACTAAATGCTACTCAACATCCAAGGTCAGGTAATACCAACAACTACCCCAAACGTTTTCCAGCAAGGCAGAGATGAGTAATTAAAGAAGACCAAGCCTCTTTTCTGTTAAGGGCAACTCTACATTGCAATCAGGAAAAGCAACTACG